CAGACGCCGACTCTTACGATCTTTTCAACAGACACTTTTGTTATACTCCTATCGGTTACTCAATATTCCAGACCTAACTATTATTGGCCCTTCTAAGTACTCCGATCGTTACTAAATATTTCAGCACCGTTACTGAATATTTCAGGCCAAAAGAACATATTCCTTGGCCAAAAACCACTATTTTAAAGCTCACAATTTCATTATCAACTGATATCAAATCCCTTTGATCTAGGTTAAGTCAAATCTGTCGAATGTTGCTTTCGAGAATCGCTTGGTATCGCAGTCGGTGCAATATCTGTGTACTTCCTGGATCATGAACACGATTCATTGGGTTTGGGCACATAGACGACGCATCTACTTGGTGTGAACAGTCCCCAGACGAAGCCGAAGTGAAAGAGATGGTCGTCTAAACAGCCATTGGATCAAAAGTTGCATTATAATGTAACATCATGATTTTCAATCTTTGTACTCTAATGGGCATCCTTTTCTACAAGTATGAATGGAGTAAACGAGTGTCATTGCAGAAACACCAGCTGGGAATTTCATTGCTCCCCTATATCGTTTCACTCTGCGTCTTAATCGCCTTCTTCAGTTCCCTCAGCAATCAAGAATTCACTGAGGTCGTCCCACAATTTCTTTCGATCCTGTCCCTGCAATGCTCCCTCTAAGACAGCAGGTCGTTCTTGAGAATCAGAAGAGTACCACAATTTTATAATGTGAGTATCTCCGGCTGGAAGTGGCATTGCATGTTTATCGCTTATATAAATTGGAGGACCGGACGCAAGCAGCCGTCTCAATTCAGCTTGACAATCGGTCTTTTTCACTATGAATGGTAAAGGCAACAAATATTATATCTCGTGAGTTCGATAATATCCAGAGTATGTGCACACTCATTTTGCTGTCAATAGAGATAGGTGTCCCTTTTTCACAAATTGCGCACTCTGCAAAATTCCAGTGTAACTGTCGTCTTCTAGCATTTTATTATTCTCCTCATCCAAATAATCAGTGAATAACCACAAAAACCTACCTTTGCCCACGTACTCTCCAAATTGTGACTTCAAGAGTTGGTCTACAACACTTTGTTCATATTGACAAGGGCGCCATTCCAAAGAAGGATGTGCCTGATATTCAACTGCAAGCAGTCACCATGTTAGTGTGTCGAACTATGAAAGCCAATTTGACTTGCCGTTTGCACCGTACCGTAGTTTTCCACTGTAATGTCTTCCATGGTTGCCAAGCACATCATCTGGTTGTTGTAACCGAACGAAACGTTGAGATAAAGTTAGCAAGATTCAATTCAGGACTCGTTCCATGTCTTCAGCAGTATAACATACCCCTTCTGACGGTGATCCATGTTCCTTTGAGCTCATCCTTGTGCTTTTTAGTCTTGTGTTAGGATTGAGGAATGCGGAAGCTGCTTTATAGTTTGAGATTGTTTTGTTGTTGCGCGCGACCACCCAAACAAAGGATATCTTCATCTTCCGAGCGAAATACAGTACGAGTACTGCAAATGCGTGTTACCTTCCCTTTTGAACAAAAATAAAATCAGCCGAAAAGGATGCTTGAGAAGCCATCAAAGTCAGTTGGAGATCCAAGCAAACAGTCCAACGAAGGGCACAAGAAGAGAGGTACAGATGGCGGTGAGTAAGATTTGTCAACGATCATCGAGGCAACACAGCAGTCTCGGATCTCATTTCGATCCTCAACTAAACCCTTAACCCGCATCCTTACAGGACGCAAAAAGGAAGGAAAACCAAAGAAAAAGAAAGCAAAAATGAAGCATCCAAGCGGCGAACATGTAGACGCACGTGAATTATCTGTACTTGAAAGGTGAGAGACTACTTGATCTTACCTGATCTGATCTGATCTGATGTCGTCGCCAATTTATTGCTTTGTTCGTTATTAACCTTCGACAAAGCGCCGCTCTTCCGCAGGGACAGATCATGGCCCAGTTCTTGTCTACCTTTAACAGACTTGAACAATCTAGGTTCGAAGCTTTTCGCCGAAGTACATTCTCCTCCGATGCGATATCCAAATACGTTGCTCAGATTTTAATAGAAGGGCTCAATGATGGAATAGAACGAAATCCCGTGTTATCTCATCTCTGCAGTGTTGGACAAGCTTCGGAGATTACAATGGTAGTATCAACACTCGCCAAGGCCTATGCCCAGAGGCTGATGCAAGACTCAAGAAGCTTTGCAGGAATAAAAGAAGTCGTTCTACCGCGATATATGCTGTTGGCTATGGACGAGCGAAATAGCCAAGGTACCGAGATTGACTTCTTCTTGCAAAACGCAGCAACATCATCATCTGGCTCATCGTTATGCAACAGAAACTATTCATCTCGGCGACTGGCCGCGATTAGACTACAAGAACTTTATGAAGAAGACAACGGATCGAAGCCAATGAACAACAAAGCCCTATCCGAATAGGACTAGCTCGATAGCGTTCGTCTCTTGTTCGTCCATTACTTTGACGACATTCGATGACCCCGAATACATTCCATTCGCTTTTCCCTTTTCAACATAAACCATAATAACAGCTATCCAAATTTACTCACCCAGCCACTAAGAAAAGTCTCTGGTTGCCGCACGATCTATTTGACCATTATGCATAGCTGCAACAACTGTAAGTACCAAAACAATATGGAATAGGCAGCACGAATCAACACCTTCAAAATAGAACTGCTGTAGCCTAATTTTGTCTTCAGGCAAATTATGGTACTTCAGCCGCAAATGACATGGCAGGATTAACCTATGAAAATATTGAATGATTCATTCATTCGTAAACCCTTTCCTGGGATGAAGGCTCCCTTGGTACCCTTGCCTCCCTTGAAAGTGGCAAGAGCGGGGTTGCTAGCTGCAACCAAGTTTTGGAATTCTTCGTTGTTTCGCATTCCCTTGCCAGGAATGAAAGCACCCTTTGTACCCTTGCGTCCCTTGAAAGTTTGCAAGGCAGGATTGTTAGCAGCCATCAAATTTTCGAAGGCTTGATTATCTCGAAGACCCTTTCCTGGGATAAAGGCCCCCTTCGTACCCTTACTTCCCTTGAAAGTGGCAAGAGCGGGGTTGCTAGCTGCAACTAAGTTTTCGTATTCTTCAGTGTTTCGCATTCCCTTGCCAGGAATGAAAGCACCCTTTGTACCCTTGCGTCCCTTAAAAGTTTGCAAGGCAGGGTTGTTAGCGGCCATCAATTTTTCGTATTCTTCAGTGTTTCGCATTCCCTTGCCAGGAATGAAAGAACCCTTTGTACCCTTGCGTCCCTTGAAAGTTTGCAGGGCGGGGTTGTTAGCAGCCATCAAGTTTTCGTATTCTTCAGTGTTTCGCATTCCCTTGCCAGGAATGAAAGCACCCTTGGTACCCTTGCGTCCTTTAAATGTTTGCAAGGCAGGATTGTTCGCCGCAGAACTTGCATCGGGAAAAAGCAAACCTCCAAATGCAAGTCCTAGTCCTGCCAAGCTCTCTCTACGGGAAATCATGCCCAATTCAGTGTTACTGCCAACAGATGCCGTTGACGCATATTGCGAAAACGCAAAAGCGGAGGGGATAGTAGTCATAAATGCAAGTGTTGCGGCGCGCATGATGCTGTTGAGATTTAATGCAGTGGTGACAGACTGAAGACTACGAGTTTAATGGACCACCAAGATATGCTTCAAAAACCCTCGAACGTACTCCTGGTTCGCTTCGAACGACTCATTGGATTCGAGACGATTTGAGGCGGTTGAAACCGTCTGTCATGTGTCTATCGGACAAGATGTCTTTTGGACAACACCCCTCATGACGGTACTGTAGTCATCGTCACAATGAGCAAGAGAGATAAAGTAGTAGTAGTGTCCCATCATTTGTCGCGCGTATCTTGAATGTAGCAGGAACGATCCAACAGGCTTGGTGAGGTCGTCGGCAGGATTGTTGATGAACAGAGGAGAAGAATGATCGATGCTTTGCGTGTCCATGGTCATGCCAGTCTTGAATGGCAAAGCATTGGATGCAGATGTGACGTGAGCGCTGATGATTTGGATGGTCGATTCATTGTCACAGTAAATTATGGTGGTAGCACTGGATGGTGAGTGGAATCCAAGGTAGTCGTACTGGCTGGTTTGCTTCAAGTTGCTTGTTGTTAGTAGATAATAAAAGACCCTACGATACTCTGAGACACTTAGTCTTCAGTTGTTTGGCGTAACGTAGTCCTAATACCACGAACCTTAAAGTTGTCAATAAAACTTGCTTTAGTTGGGATAAGAGTTTTTGAATGACCAAAGCAAACTCACGCTTTCGGTCATCCCAAAAACTCTCTACACAGTTTTAACTACTGTAATTCGATTGTTCATCTTACGAACAACATCTGTTCATGGCTGGTTCTCCATACTCTCACGGTTGATGCATGATAGTTTAGACTTGTCACTATCTGACTCAGGGGAGTTGTCTGTACGACTTCCAACACTCCTTGACTGATTCTTCCTCATCATCCTCTAGTAGAGTATCAATGTGTTTGTATCCCAAAATCACATCACAAAACTTTCAAAACAAACTACCTTGCAGAGCCTTGGTAAAAAATCCGCCAGCGGTCGGACAGTACACCACATTGATTCCTTCGGACAACAATCGATCCTTAATAAAATAAAAACGATTGTCGATGTGTTTGGACTTTTTTCCGGCTGACTTCTTACCGTTCAAAAGGATCTTCATAGCGCTCTGATTGTCCTGATATAGGGTGTTCTTTTCTAGTCCAAAACCTTGTTGTTCCAAAAATATTCTCACCCAAATCATGTTAGGCAAAAAATCACTCACGCCCACGACTTCTCCCTCAGTTGAGCTCTTAACATTAAGGCCCTGTTTCTTACACATGGTCGAAATTACGCCCCAACCAAAAGAGATGCATCCTCCAGTGTGACTTTTGCAGTCGTCATGGATTCCATACGAAACATCCACCCATGCTTGCATCCTTCTGATGTTGTCTCCACCAATGATTCTTGTCAAGTCTATCAAACCTTTCAGATACTGCAAGACTCTCTTGAGTTTGACCCAATCTGTCAGAAATATGAGAATACAACTAGCTGTGGGTGCCTCAACGCCCCTAGTTCTTGATTCTCTCCTGAAATAGGATCTTCTGCAGCTAGGGTAATAGCTCCTGTATCGATAACGATCTATCGATACTATCATAGCAAACCATACATCAGTATTACTATATTAATTCATATCCATTTAGGATTCTGTTTGGATTGTGATAATACTAATAATAATAACTGAGACATTAATTGTTAAAAACGCTGCTTTTTGAGACTTGGATAGAGATAGATAGTCCGGAAGAAATGAGAGGTCCAAACTGTGCCATTTGCATGGCAGAAAACGGGCCCTGTACGTCGGGCCCGGTACGTTTGCGCTCTGTGGAACCACTTCCTGATACAGTAGCCTGATCGAGTAGTGTATGCGATGATAACATCAGCAGTTCGAGTGCGCTCCGACTTAGTGACAGGGTTGAGTCGGAAAGTGACCATACCACAGTTACGTGGGAGGTCAGCTTGTGCA